CCCAGCGGCCCTGTATTCTCCTTGACTACTCAAGGGCTACCGGTACCCACAAATATGTCACACTAACGTAGCTATTGCTTAGACCATGTCGGTATACCCCACACAGTTTCCATAATGTATTGCTACTTACCTATAAGGTATCCCAAATCCGAGTAGAGGATTCAAACCTAAACAAAGAACCATAATGTAAAGCATACAAGTCAAACAACAAAAGCAAGTAAATATGATCTAACCCTAAGGTAACCCCACTTTAAGAATTCCCCAACAGAGTCGCCAGTTCTGTAATACGGTGGGAGAACTGACTTGGTTGTTTTGCGTTTGATCGCAAATGTTACAGTTAGCAATAGTCTCCACCGACTTTTCTTTTATCCAAAAGGAAAGGTGAAAAAGCACAGGAAAGACCTTTGAGATTGTTTCTTGAGTTCGGGGGGTAGATTATGAAAAGGGAAGGTATTAACACCCTTTTCATCCATGGTTTTCCATGGTCTCTTAGTTACTTGCTAGATCACTTGCTTTTGTTTGAAAATGTGCTTTGTGTGGTTTTTTGAAAGTATTTTGAAAAGGGGCCATCGTTTAGGCAAACTTTGTAATGATTCTCGTTCGTAAGAATGTATACAAAGTTTTTAATCTTTTGAAAATGTTTTCAAGTTTTGAAAGATGTTTTGAAAGTATTGGTGTTTGTTTTGAAGATAGCAAGGATGTTTTTGTTTTGAAATGGAGCAAGTAACTAGGAACATTCTACCTACTCAAAAGTCTTTCATGTTTATTTCCTTTTTCCTTTGATATTGTTATCTTACCATTGATTTGCTAAGCAACCCTATCTTTGGATGTAATAGGGACGGGTGTGGGTCATCGTATAACCATGATTAGAAATGTTGTAAGATATCTTAGCATTCTTTTTAAGGGACTAAGATCATTTTGAAAGGCAACATAGATAGCATCATCGAGGGACTATGATCTTGTATTTTGCTTGTTTTTGCTAAGATACCTTACATGTATAATATGGCCATTTTTGTAATGCAACAAAGTGGGTTTACCCTAAGGGTGTAAGTGTGCAAGTGTATTGATTTACATGCATTGTTTTGTCTTGATTAGGGTTTGTTATTTGTTGGTTTTAGTCTTTCCATACAAAACCCTAATTACTAGTATTTGTATATAAAACGATAAATTGCGGAATTTAAAATTACTACACTATTACATCATTCAGGAGAGGGGGTGTATAAATTACAAATGGGGAATATTGCAAGAAATGAAATCTAAATAATTATTACAACCATATTGAATTTTTGAATAAATGTACAAAATAAGGATAAAATGCAAAAATATTAAATGTAAGAAGAAATGTGATTTTTTTATTTGGTTCTTTTTCATGAAAAGGGTTTTTTGACCTAATTAATTAAAATAAAATAATTAACTAAAAAAAGAAAATTAATATTAAGTTAGTAGAATAAATTAATTTAAAGAAAACAAGTTTTTTAGGGTTTTGATGAATTTAATTAAGTTAGAAAATAAAAATAATTAAATAAAAGTCCTAAATTTTAATTGATTTTAATTTACAAGAAAAATAAATAATATAATATAATAATAATTAAAATTAAATTATCTAAGTATTTAAAAAGGTAAATTTAATTATTAAAGAAAATGTAAAAGAAATATTTTTTATTCTTTTGTTTTTGTGAAGAAAAATAAAATATAAAATGTGAAAATAATAAATAAAAATATTTTTTGGGTTTTTATTACTAATAATAAAAATTAATATTAATAATAATATTGATAATAATAATAATAAAAATAAAAATAAAATAAAATGGGACAGGATGTATGAACAGCAAGGCAGGGGGTCAGAATATAGCAAAAAAATAAGGCCCAAAGAAATGGAGGCCCAGGCGCTGCAAAAACAAAGAAAATGTCAAAAAAAGTGGGGGGAAATGTAAAAAGGTCACGCTGGGGCTTGAACCCAAGACCTAAGGGTGACAGACGCGTGATTTAAGCACTGGGGTGGTGATACATCCGTTAACTTAGGTCAAACCATAGATATATATTAGAAACTGCTTCCTGAAAACAACTTCATCTTCAACCTCTAGCCAGACCACCTGCATCTTATTCATTTCTCATCCATTTGCAAAAATGTAACCATGAAACTTGTGGCAAATTTCACCACGATTCCAGAAATGTAAACAACTTAAACTAATTCTCAAAAATGAGCATGAATTTTGAATGGTACCAAATTCTGACCTAACTTTTCCAGGATGTTCAGATTCAAAATTCTAACTACTCAAGCAATATAAATGAAATCTAAAGACATGGTTAGTTTCAGGGCTATGATATCTACATTTTATCTTCATAAATGGAAAGCAAATGATGCCTATATGAAGAGTTCAAAAGTCAGAAAACTCACCTTGAAAATGGAATTCGTGTTTTGAGTTGGAGCTTGTTTCAAGGTGCTGCAAGGATCAGGTTAGCTTCCTTGAGGTCCCAGGAAGCTAATGCAATGATTAGCTTGGTTGGAGAGTGGCTGAAATGGTCTGTAGAAGTCCAACTGTGATGCTCTATTTTTGAACTTGGAAATGAAGGAAGGTGGTGTTACAGTCGTGTAACAGGGACATGGATGGCTTTTGTATGATGTTTGGAAGCTTTTGGAATCAAAAGGCCAAGAAACGCACGAGTAGTTTTTGATTTTGGTGTTCAAGGTCAGAAACTATACAACAATAGAGTTTTTGGGCAATTTCTGATTTGGGAGAGTTTTGGTGTATTTCAGGGTGCTTAAGCTCTTCCTTTAGCTCATAAATAGTTCCTTCTATTTATAAGCAACAAGTATGGAGGCTTGTATCTGATCAGAATTCAAAGTCACATGTTTAAGCTCAACATGTGATTTTTTGAGAAATCAAGTTTCAATGCCTTGTGTGCTGGCTTAGATAGAGTGGTTATGATTTAAACACACTTGCTTCTGACTTTGTAGATGGAGTGTGATCAGAGGGAACAAGTTAGAGGCTTTAGAATTGACTTTGCACATAAAGCTTGCTTTTCTAAAATGGAAGTGTTCACTTTGTGCCATTAATGGAAATGTGGATTGGATAAAGCTTAAACCACTTGGATTAAAGCTCAAAAGTTTGTGTAATCCATTAATGATGGATATATACCCAATTTAGACAGCCTGCAAAGCAATATTATGCAGCCTAATATAGAAATTGCATTTTTGTTCATCATGAGAATGACCTATAATTTTAGTTTGAAACCCTAACTTCCTCTCTACGATTCTCCTTGCTCAAGAATGATCTCAAGGAGTTCTTGGACATTTTAGAAATCTTGTAATGTGATCTACAAGCCCTCTTTGAATCACTTTTTAAAATTCCCCTTGGAACTATATGAAAAAGTGCCATGAAGTTAGGTCAAAATCCTGCCTAAACTAGGGCAAAATTTTCACTAAGTGTTTAGTTTCAAGACCATGACTTCATGAATTAATAACTTGAGATCCAAGCATTTCTAGGAGAAGTTGTGTAAAGAAATTTTGTAGAAATCATGGATATCTGCAACTTTCATGCTTAAAGTTTCTTTTGAATCATCTTGCATCATGGTGAAAAATTGGCTCAAAGTTGTGAAAAAACATGAAGTTTTCAACACTTAGAAAAATTTCTAAGTTTGAAAACTTTGACTTTTCAAAATGAAATATTGACTTTTTGATTTCTTGATGAATAATTTTCATATTTTGACATGTTTTGATGAAATGTGATCTTTAACACTTGATTTTGACCAAAAAGTCAAAGTTTGACTTTTCAGTGTAAAATTGACTTTTGATCAGTTGACTGAAAATCCACTATCAATCCAATTGATCTTGAGCAATGTTTTGAGTCATTCCATTAGGTAAAAATGATTAAATTGAACTCTTGAGATCATGCCTCAAACCAATTAACCCTTTTCTAGGTCAAAAAATCAAAAATTGCCCTTTCTCAGTCAAAACCCTAACTTTGACCATTTTGCCCTTTTGATGATTTGATCAAATTTCTTGAGAAATTATGGTACAAACTTGATCAAATGATACATATGAGTGTATAATATTGATGTGGATCAAAAATTATGAAGTTTGACTGTAAATTGGCCACAGTTGACTTTTTCCCCGATATAGCTGATTTTTAGGTCAACTGCTCAATTGACTGAGCAACAATGTGATCCAAGGCTTGAAACTTGACATGAGTAATCTTGGGGGTCCATAATGATCCATGAAAGTCATATGAGGCATTGAAAGTTCAATTATCCTTGTGTAATCTTAAACCCTAATTTTAGTCATCAGTGCTTAAGGAGGTGTCTTGAGCTGATCAAAACTTGTGCAGTCTTGAACCAAAGGAGATCTTGTGGGAAAATACTTGATAAATGAGAGGGAAAATTTTGGCGTACAACACCAGCCAACAAACATTTTATTTCACTGCGAACTACGAAGCTCTGATTTTTTTTATTACACCATGAGGATACCTATGCACAAGATTTCAAAATCTTGGTGAGCCCAATAATAAAAAACAAAAAAAAAACATTTTCCTTTCTTTATTTTTTTCTCGCATAATAATTATAACACTAGTAAACATCATGTTAACATCCTATCATAAGACTAAATAAATGGGCACCATTTAGTACAACGGGTGTGAGGGGTGCTAATACCTCCCCTTAGATAACCGACTCCTGAATCCTATTTGGTTGTGATAACTCTCTTATCCTTTCATTGTTTGTTTGTGGGGTGTATCGATCTTTTCCCTTTTCTCTTATGAATAAATAAAATTTGGTGGCGACTATGTTGTATTTCGAGTGTGCGATGCACTCAATTCTTCCTCCCTCGCGACCAGTTTATCTCAACCTCTTATGGTAGCACTTCTACTTCACTTCATTTTCATCAAAATCCTCAATCCTATACTAACGTGAGCGAGAAAGGAACGTCAAAGAGAACTAGGGGTCCAACTAACAATGACACTGATGATGATACCATCATCTACTTGGACACAAAACCTTTGAAGATGATTATTCCAGTGGATGTTTCAACAAAAGAGTCAAATAATGCTTCTACCAAAAAGAAGACCATGTCTGAAAGGTTTAGTACTTCAAATGGTGAACCTTCATTGAATAATTATGTTGAAACTATTTATGTTGTTGAATCCTACCCCAGTGAGAATTAAACTGATCTTGGTAAAACCCTTGCTAGGGAATAAGATGTGGTGTCACATATTGAATCACTTGATGATCAACATGTTGAACCAGATATTGAAGCATATGTTTCAACATCTAGTGAACCCCGGGTTGAACACCCCATTGATTCAGTTGTGGATGCTCCTATTTTTTATGTCTTTCTGAATAACATATTGGATGGGAATGATGACTGGGACTTTTTTGAAGACCAAGCTGCTGAGAATAATCAGAATTAAGAACATGAAGTTCAGGGAGAAAAGAATGTAGAGGTTATAGTTCTAAGTAAGACATATAATGAAGTAAGTGGTGAGGACTCTCCAGATGAAAAAGATAATGGGCAAGAGGATAAGTATGTTGAAACTGATGAGAACGATAACATCCATATTGTCCACATAATGAAGAATCTCATTAAAGGTGTGACCAAACCTTAAGACAAGGACACTCATGAGAAGGTTAAAGAGGTGGTTGATGTTGAAGAAGAGACATAAATAGATGAAGAACCTACTATGTAAATATTTGCTAGAATTATTTTTTATGAATTAAAAGAGAAAAAGAAGAAGGGGACTCCTCGAAAGAGAATAATCAAAAAGACTGCCACTAAAAGAAAATCTCTTAAGAAGAAGCTTGTAGTTTCAAGTGAATCTAAATCAGATGCTGAAGCAAATATCCTTGACATCATGCCCTCTCCCAGAAAAAGATGATTGGAGGAAAAAGAGTACCTATAAATATTCATGCTTCTCCTTTAGACAATGTATCTTTTAACTCTGAAGAAAGTGTTAAGAAGTCGGGGTTTGTGTGCCAAATAAGAGTTGCTTTAGAAAAGGAGATGAGTGTAGATACTCTTAACTATCCAAAAATTAGGAAGTTGGGTTGTTGAAAACTATGGCAGACCTTGGTCCTTGCTATGAGAAGCTTGTAAAGGAATTTATTATTAATTTGCCAAGTGATTGCATTAAGGAAAAAGCAAAGAATTATATAAAGTTTATGCCAAAGGATGTTGTGTGAAGTTCCCACCTGAAGTCATCAATGCTTATCTAGGTAGAGGCAAGAATACCAAATCTGATATTGTTACCTCTCTGGACAAGATTGCTAGAGAAATCACAACTAATCAAGTTCAGCAATGGCCAAAGAATAACTTACTTTCCTCTAAAAGTATTAGTGTGAAATATTTTGTGTTGAATAGAATTGGAGCAACAAATTGGGCACCCACCAACCATAGCTCAAACATCACTTCTGTCTTGGCCAAGATTATTTTTAAAATTAGGACAAAGTCCATATTGAATTTCAGTGAACATGTTTTCGATCAAATAACGAAACATGCTGACTCATATGTTGTAAAACTTCTCATTGCCTTTCCCCATTTAATCATTGGAATCATATTGAAGTAACATCCTAACATAATGTGTACTCATGAAATCAAGAGCAAAAATCCAGGTCCACTGATTTTGTACTACAAGTCCTTCATTTGATCACATGTGTAAGACATTGTGGTGCCAAAGAACAAAAGTCATGCAGCTAGTGGGAGTTTCTCTTCTATGTCCAAAGCCACCAAGGAGGATATTCTTCATGAATTAATGGAAGTGTCCAAGACCTTACAAGAAAAAATCACTTCAAACACTATCAGGAAGAAGAGTGTGGATCTTGTTATTGACCAATGAAGAGGATGATGAAAGCGAGGTTGAGATTGAAAATGAGAATTTTGGGAGTGATTGTGGAAGTGATGAAGATGAGGACAACTATGAAGACTAAGATGTATTTTATTATCAACAAGGATGTGCCAAACATTTGGTATGATGTATGATGTCTGATGTAGATGGTTGTTGTTTGAGCTACATAGTTTTTATTTTCTTTCATTTGTTTTATTTGGCCCTTGCATGGGAATTTTTTTGGGTTATGTAACCTTAACTTTAATTTTCACTTCTGAACCAAGTATCACCAAGGGTTGAATATCAAGCATTGATGCTCTAGAATCATGTTCAACATATTTTTTGTCTACTTCTATTCTGATGTGTGTATGTGTTAACATGCTATGATCTGTGCTTACTAGCCAATATTTTGGAGGGACACCTTTGCCAAACTATGACAAAAATGGGAGTAATAGTGTGTAGGTGGTAGTTTTTCTGAATACTAACTATTGACTGTGAGGAAATGATATTTGATGATATATGACGTGTTTAGTACTAGCTGATATAATTGGTACTGATTGATATAATTTTTTGGTTTTTTGTAGAAAGCACGCGTGTTTAAGCATCTGGATTATCATATGGCCCAAATCTATGTATGCTGATATGGTTGTGTGTTAATAGTAGCTTATGATCTTTGACTATTGACTAATAGTTATGTGTGCATGCATGACTAACCTATAATGAATGGTTGTATGTTACCTATTTATGAGAGCATTGTATGTCAATTGACCGATGTGTAGCAACTCACATGTTATTGATTTATGCAGCTTCTACTGCTGATGAATGCTCTGGTGGTTGTACTTCTGTTGCTGCTGGTGTATGTTCTCAGTATGGGAGTTCTTGGTACTTAGTTTTTTTCCTGTTTGAAGAGTTGTTTTTCCAAAATTTGCCAAAGTGGGGATTATTGGTCCTTCTTGATTGGTTGCATTATGCAAAACAACACGAGTTTGTTCAAGTTGTTTCTGGTGCAGAAGGGACACATATGGAGCACGGCGTTCCAACATGTGCGTTGCAACACCTGGTCTTTAACAATAGACAAATGGTATTGCAGTATTGGTTCTGATTTATTCTATCCAAATATTCACTATGTAAGAAGATCTACAATTCATGGAAAAGAGTTAATTTGGATGCACTAGTGTAACATGTGGAACACGATGTTCTAGCATGTGTATAGTGCAACATCTGGCCCTGAACACTAGGCTATGGAAGATGTTTCTAGATGTGAAATTTATTATTGGGATTCAATAAGATTTGTTAGCAATGTTTGTGTGATTTGTTTGACAGAGGTGAAGATCAAAGAAGATTTAAATGGAGATTTAAATTTGAAATATAATAAATCATATATTTTGTTGGAGATTTTTATGGAGAAAATCAAATCTAACAAATTCAGCTATTATTCTGGACAGATATCCAAGGAGAAAAAGCCCAGAATACATTGCTATATAAGGAGACTTAGTTCAAATGTTTGAAAATAAGTTTGTGCGCAACAACTAAGTTCTTTGTGCTAGGGTTTTGAGTAATTTTTTTTCTTATATTTTATGCTAATTCCATCATAAGGATTAGTATAGGATCTTTGTGTACCCCACTCTACAGTTTAGTAACTTGGCATAGTTGTTGATTTGTATTAGTTAAGTTATAAATTCAACAATCATTGTGCTAATGGTTAAGTTGATCAGTAGGGGTTAGAGATTGAGAGAAAGTGAGATGGATTCTCATATTTAAGGGGAGTCCTAAATAGAAAGTCGTTAGGAATAGGAAGAGGCATTGGACATCAAGAGGTTGGTGTTCACAGAAGACTAATTGTAGTAATTTGAAGTAGAGGATTTCCTTTATTGGGTAAAGTGTCCTCCAGATGTAGGTGTGATTTCACCGAACTGGATTACCAAACTCTTATGTTATTTTATTGCTTTATGCATTGTGTTATTGTTGTTGTTACTCCGATGTCTTACTGGTTTAACAAGTTGGACCAATTGTTCCAATATTGTGTCCAACATTTGTCCCCTCAGGAATAGAGTTTCATTGGGGCACATGATTCTCTGAAATGCAAACTATTGTATGGCACCTTCAAAGACGTCGTCCTTTGGGGATATATGAGTCTACCCCGTGCCTCCATAGCCAACTATCAGGAGTTGGTAAAGAAACTTGTGCACATGTTCGTCACCAGCCATCATAGTAAGATGTCCACCACCATCCTGTTCAATATATGATAGGGTCCATCAGAGTCCTTGGGGGACTATCTCGCCTGGCTAATGAAGCCATCATCAGGGTCATTCCCCCAAAGCCAATAAATGTTTACAGAGGTATTCCAAAGTGGACTTAAGGTGGGACAATTCAACGAGTCTCTCTCCTATAAACCAGTACTTTGGTTTGCAAAAGTGATCACCAAAGCAGAATGCTACATAGAGGGCGAGGAAAGCAATGTCGAGAAGAAGGCGTGAGACGTCAATGAGATTGTTTCCAACGTCGAAGGTTCAAACCACTAGAGGAAGAGTATCTATACCTCTCTCAAAGGCAAGATCGTGTTCATGAGAATAGGAAAGACGGAGGAAAGAAAAAGAATGTGTGGGATTTGTCGACAAATTGGCCATATGCGCAAAAAATGTCAAAATGCTACAGGCCCTTCTAGATGATTATGTTAGTTTTTTATTTCATCTTTTAATCGATTTATTGTAACCATTTTATAATATTAACTAGCGGGATACCCGTGCTTTCGCACGGGTACCAGTATGGTATACACATTTGTTTCTAAAATATAATTAAAATAAAATAATTTTTTTTAAAAGAGATAATAAATCGGTGTCTATAACTCTTTTAATATATAAAAATATTTGAGTCAATAGTATATATATATATATATATATATATATATATATATATATATATATATATATATATATATATATATATATATATATATATATATATATATATATATATATATATATATATATATATATATATATATATATATATATATTGTTTTTGTTTTTGAATTATTGTCAAAAATATTTAAAACAATAATAAATTGTTATTATTATTCAATATTTTGATCAGTAACTCCATGTTCTCATTATATTTAATATTTTGATCAGTAATTTAATGTCTTCGTTATTATTAAATATTTTGATCAGTAACTTCATGTTCCCGTTAATATTTAATATTTTTTTCAATAACTTTATGTTCTCGTTAATATTCAATATTTTAAGCAACAATTTAATATTTCCCCTAATATTCAATATTTTGATGAGCAACTTCATATTCCCATTAATATTCAATATTTTGAATAGTAACTTCATCTTTCTGTTAATATTCAAAAGTTTGATCAATAAATTCATGTTCCCGTTAATATTCAATAGTTTGATCAATAACTTCATGTTTCCGTTAATATTCAATAGTTTGATCAATAACTCCATGCTCCCGTTAATATTTAATATTTTGAGTAGTAATTTTATGTTTTCGTTAATATTCAATATTTTGATCAGTAACTTTGTGTTTCTGTTAATATCAACTAATAACATAGTATTTGTAAATATTGTTTTAATTGTATAAAA